AGCTGATCTATTAAATGCACCTCAGCCAAATAATGCACATGAAGTCAGGAGCTTTCTTGGCATGGCCAACTATAGTAGTAAGTACATTCGAGATTTCTCAACACTAACTGCTCCCCTTCGTGACCTGACGAAAAAGGATGTTCGTTTTGAGTGGACTCAAACACACCAAACTGCTTTTGTCAAGCGTGGAAAAACACGCTTGCAATTGCTCCATGTATGTCATATTTCGACAAAAACAAACAAACTTTTGTAACAGTTGATGCTAGTCCTGTAGGAATTTCTGGAATTCTTTCTCAGAAAGCAAGAAACGGTGACGTAGACAGTCAACAGATAATTGCATATGCCAGCCGAGCGCTGACTGATACAGAAAAGAGATACTCCCAGACGGAAAAAGAAGCGTTAGCGATAGTATGGGCGGTTTAACATTTCCATATATTTTTAATTGGAAGTGAATTTACACTAATAACTGACCATTAACCTTTAGAAATTATTTATGGTTAACGTACTGTACAGCCAAAACATCAGCACGAATTTAAAGATGGGTGCTTCGCCTCCAACTATATACATTTAAGATATTTTATAAATCAGGTGCCAGCAACCCTGCGGACTATCTTTCTCGTCATCCAACAAACGAAAGCAAACGAAAACAGGAGAAGATGACGGAACAATATATTAATTTTATAACTCAGAACAGTGCCCCTAAGGCGATGACATTACAAGAAATAATCAATGCAACTAACGCAGACGCGGCACTAACAGCACTCCATGATGCAATTAAAACAAACAAATGGGATTCCCCAATTGTAAAACCGTTCAAAGCCGTAAAAAACGAACTTACGTCTACCACACACGGTGTTATACTTCGAGGAACACGGATTGTCATTCCTGCTGCTCTACAACAACGTGCAATAGATATAGCTCATGAGACACACTTAGGAATAGAGAAAACTAAGTCTCTAATTCGTGAAAAATTCTGGTTTCCGCAAATTGACAACCAAGTCAAAAACACAATTGCTAAGTGCACCCCTTGTCTATGGTTGCCGGATTGTAGCAAAATTCAATACACACATTTTATATTCAATACACACATTTTATATTCAATACACTCATTTTATATTCAATACACTCATTTTATATTCAATACACCATTTTATATTCAATGCACTCATTTTATATTCAATAATTACCGAAATATATTCAATAGCTTCGCAAAAACATTCAATAACCTTGTTAAATATTCAATACAACATCTGAAATATTCAGTAAATTACACCGTAAAATATTCAATGCGGCCAAAAAATATTCAATAAAACAACCTCAAAATATATTCAATAGCTTTTCACCGGCGGTATACCGCCAAGAAAATAACATACACCACTGGTAGTTTTTAAAAATACATTTCCGTAGAGTTGCCAATTGCTTATTGTGAAAGTGTTACTAAAATATGGCCGAACAAACTCTTGAACACGAAACTGACGAAACCGACAACACATCACGGGTCGATGTGTTTAATAGTATTGATCAGTTGTTGCAGAGGATCAACGAGAAACAGGATGATGGAAACATAGCCTTTCACGAAGCTTCTTTAATATTAAACAAACTTGAGACAGCCCTATCTATTGTAGTACGTTTGACATCTCTGGATATCGATCTCACAGAAAACACTAGATTGGTCCTGCTGCAGTTTTCCGATTGTCTAACTGAAATATACAATTACTGGGCAATTAGATCTAGAATAGCTAATATAAGGCGAGCAACAGTCACTCTACCTACTTTGGGAATTGAAAATGTCAGTATGTCGGGTGATCAAGGCAGACCATCATTGTCTATACCGAAGGAAATTCTCGAAGACCTAAGAAATTCTGGCTACTCCTGGACTGAAATTTCGAAAATCTTACAAGTATCAAGATGGACTGTACACCGGAGTGTACGAGAATATAATTTGCAACACCTAGACAGGTTTTCTGACATATCTGATGATGAACTGGACCAGTTAATCATGGGCTATATATCCAGGCATGGTATAATACCACTGGTGAATCATACCTCATTGGCTTCATTAGATCTCAAGGTATTCGTGTTCAGCGAGACAGGGTACGTTCTTCTCTAACACGTGTTGATCCTGAAAATACTGCACTTCGTTGGGCATGTGTCACTACCAGAAGAGTTTATAGTGTCCCAGGGCCAAACGCGCTCTGGCATATAGATGGTAATCATGCTTTGATTCGATGGAAGTTTGTGGTGCATGGGTGCATCGATGGCTTTTCCAGGAGGATAATTTACCTTCTTTGTGCAGACAACAACCGCTCAGACACTGTGGTAAATGTTTTTGCTGCAGCCACTGATGAATTTGGTTATCCATCCAGAGTTAGGGGTGATCACGGAGGGGAAAATGTACAAGTAGCAAGGTTAATGGAACGAGAGAGAGGTGAAGGGAGAGGCAGTTTTATTGCTGGGCCATCAACGCGAAATCAGAGAATAGAGAGACTGTGGAGGGAGGTATTTCGCTGCTGTTTGTATTTATTTTACTGTATATTCTATGCCCTGGAAGAAAGTGGTGTTCTTGATTTGAACAATAACATTGATCTGTTTGTATTGCATTATGTATATTTACCGAGAATTGATCATGCTCTTCAAGAGTTTGCAGCAGCCCTTAACAATCGACCAATGAGAACTGGGAATAACTGGAGTCCAGAAAAAAATTGGACAAACGGAATGATAAATGAGGCAGTCAGGCAGTTATCAGCCTGGGATGATATTGAAAACATTGAACTATATGGTGTTGAGGTTAGGGTTAGGGTTAGGTAAATAAATTGTCCTGGCTTCCATGGGTCTTCATTGGCAAAAGAGCACGCTGTTTTATAGTCAATCAAATTAAAACTTTCCCTTATTTATTTAACGATAAGATGAACTATATTGTACTCATGAACTATATTGTGTAGCCTTTAGTCACTAAGAGCGACTAAAGGCTACACAAGCGTTTTGTCGTTATCGGAAAATGTATGGCTTATAAGTTGTCATTACTCATTAGTGAATGCGCGTATACATGAAGCTGTCTTTTACAGTTTCAATATTAGTTTGTAAATCTCTGAATGGTAAAACTGGCCAATACTCCAATAATACGTTTCAAAATAAGACAAAAAAGCTTAAGTTTTGCAGAGTTAAATTCTCAAACGTGTAAGGCACTAATAAGATGAAAGTATCACGAAATTATTTGAATAAACCACATCGCATATATGGGGACGAATGTCCTAAAGAGGGGCGATATTCCTACGGTAATCGCCCCACTCCCCTGGGAGGCGATATTCCTAGGATATTCGCCACCGGGAGCGATATTCCTAGGAATATCGCCACGTTTTGAGAGGGGGGGGGCACCTTTTTAAAAATTCTATCTTGCCCCCCCCCCCGCACATTTGAGTTTGCCCCTCAAATGCCCCC